ATATATATGTGTTTATATACATGGGACGGATGGACGGACATACTGCTCACCACTGCCCCCCCCATGCTGGATGGCAGTGTGTTAAAGGTCAAGCACAGAAGCCCGGGGAGAGCTCACAGGCTCCAGTGGGCCTGACTTGACTCATGAGTTAGAACTGCTCCATCACAGCACTTCACATAGAAGACAGTGGACTCCTGGACTTTATTCCATTGAGAGCTTCATGTAACGTCCCAAGGAAAAGCTGCTGGAGCAGCTCCCTGGCCAGAGGAAAGTGCAGACAGAAGGAAAAAGCTCTCATGCCACCTTTCTTACGACTACAACTTCTCACTGGTCACACCGTTAGAACAAAAGTTTATTTTCCTGAAAGTATCACTGAACTGAATGAGCGGTCAACTCTGAAATAAGAATGAACCTGAGGGGACGAGGAGGACACAGACAACACGAAACAAGGACAGACAGATCTTTCATAAAGACAACTACCGACGCAAGTCCACTGACAGAGCGAGTAAAGGTGGACTCCGCCCAGATGAGATGATGGTGAGGAAACAAACTCCTGAAATGCACGAATGTAAATTACAGAGTTTTGGTTTGAATCCAAAACCAACCAATGGAACAAACACGTGAAGCTCAGTTCAGTAAGAAAACGTCGTTGGGATGATTCCCTCAAGTCTCGAGTCTCTAACAGTAAAGAATCAACAAGACCAACACTGTGATTCTCAGGTTATCTTTGTATAAAACGTATGAAGGGAACATGGAGCCAACAGCTCCAGAGAAGAACGAGGGGAAAAGAATCTGCTGCTAAGTCTATTAGCAATTAAGAATCCGATCTCCCTCCATTCTCCTTGAACTGTATTGGACGGCAGCGCCTGTGTCTCAGTGTTCACTTGGTCACTGTCAGGACGCTGTGAGCCCGACTGTCCACCTGGAATCAGGATATTGCTCAATATAATGGATTCCTATTGGTTTCTGCCGGCCAGACAAACGACACTGGAGAGGTGAGAAAAATGGCTTATTGATGAGTGTCTGAAGGTGGAGGGCACGCACACGCACACGCACAGACACACACACACACACACACACAGACACAGACACACACACACACACACACACACACACTTTTGTAACTGGTGAGGACATTTCTCACATTCTTTTCTTTGAGACTTTTATACTTGTGGGGAAAAGTCTTTTGTCCCCAGATGGAAGATGATTGTTTATTACATTGTACAAGTACACGGTACCGTATATAATAAAGAAATACAATACACTCTGTTTTTATCACTGCTGGTCCGGACAGATTGAGCTGGTGGGTACCGTGCAGTAGTTTTCCTCCACACTCCTGGTAACTATCCCAGTATAATCACTAGTACAGTGTACTGTGGTGTGTACAATACTTCATCTCCAGGTGATTAACCTTCGGAGCGCAACAGAAAAAGTTCAAGCTCAAGGTGAAATGAAACCTTGGTCTGAAAAACGAATCAGTGACATCATGAAGAAGTCACAAAGAAGTGATGTCACCCACTGTTCAAAAATCAGACATTAAGGGGGCGGATATCTAAAATTAAAGATTTTTAATTATCATCCCGAACTGAAGTAACATTAAATACAACCGCCAGAACTCTACAAATATCGATGGCAGCTTGAGGCTAAACAAAGAGAACTGACGTTAAACAGAGAAAATAATTCATGTAAGATTCAGGGAACAATTCAACTCAGTCCTCGACAAACAAACAACCGAATAAACCTTCAAGTTAAGAAGCCAAACGCTCGAACTAAACATATATGAGTTTATCATCTCATCTTAACATACTGTATTTCTAGATAGACACATATACACGTATCATTTCCTGTATCTTACGGATCAAATTGTCCATATCTCATTATTTCTAATTCCTCTCAGTTTCTGTATCATCTCCTTTTCCTGTGGGGACCAGTAATGCATGCTCACATGAACAAACTGCACCGCCGCAGGCTGCTGAACCAAACAAACAGATGATGATATTCTATGTGATTCTCCTTAAAGTATATTTAAAATTCAGAGCTAATTTGTTACCCAGCACCACCCGCCTCACCTCCCCTTGTTTCTGAACATGAATAACTGCAGTGTTTGTTCCTGGGCATGAACGCAGCTTCCCTTGGGTGTGATGAATATTGTATGTTTAGCGTGAAGCTAAGATTGAATCAAATGTGCACGTGTGGTTCATGAGTGTGAATTACAGGAGCAAAGGATCCATTCATGGCTCCACGCCGACTGATAGACGTGTCTCTGTGGGACTATAGGAGGTTTCAACATGGTGTCGTTATCTCAACGTGCTGGCATCGTAATCATACAGTGCAGAACACTTCTCAAGCCCCGGATGAACAGCGCACAGTTCAAGGTGCACGGAGCGGCGTATAAATCATCAACGTGATAATTAAATTTCACACTGTGTGATTAAAAATCAGTGATGGTTACATTTTATTATCCATGTTATTGTCAGCTCAACAGTTTCCTGTACGTGCAGCTCCCTCCATCATTTGAATGACAGAGTGTTTGTATAATTCATTTCCTCAGTGGTGTGTATATATTTGGACAGTTGCACTGTAAGTGCCTGAGGACAACGTGCAGCTCATGAATCATAACGTGACACATGATGAATTTTATACGTATGTGAATGCCAAAGCAGAGTGAGACACAGTGCTTCTGCTTTCTATAAATACACTACACTTCAGTTTTCTCCCTCGGTGCTTTAAATCCACACTGCAGCCAAACCCAAATAAAATCGATTGACGCAGAATTGTTTGTCACGTGAGGCGCTGAAAAAAAAAAAGATAAGATCTTCCTGACAGAGGACAGAATCCATTCTGCTTATCAGATCAGTTCTTTAACGATCTCTTCACACTCAGTGCTGAACCATATTATCATGATTATGTTATTATAAAACCCTCAGCTCTACACATCCATGTTTTTCTATTAGGACTCCATGAGCTGCTTTAATGATACGAACTCTCAGAGATAAAATCCGTCCTCTCTTTTCACTGACTCCTCCTCAGACACAGGATTCTTCTCAGCGGCTGTAAACTGATCGACTGTTTTTCTCTCGTCAATCTTCACCAACTAACTTCAACGATTTCTTCATCCAAACCATCAACCTGTCTATTAGACCTCATCGCAACTTCGCTGTAGAGGGAAGTTTCAACCTGAGTCGGCACTTCTGAACATGCTCTGATCAATCTGTGTTCATAACCAGACTCCGAACCACAGCACAGTTCTACAGGAGCAGACGTCCAACTATTGAAAAGCCTGATCTCCATCTGGGTGTTTCAGCCAAATATAGACCAACTCAATCAAAGCACACGTCAAAGAGGAAGTTCTTATCTCACCGATGTTTGTTCGAGTGTTTTGATGAAATAGAAACAGGCCTTGATTCCACTGTTTGCTTCTGTGCAGAGTCCGAGTCCCAGTGACGTCCGCAGCGTTCGCATCGAGACATCTACGGCAGAAGTGTCCTCAGTAACGGGCCTGGACGGTTTACACCTACTTATTAAGAATATAAACATATAAGGATAATGAATAGAAATATAATATTTTTGGCCCTTTCCTGCTCATATGTGTAAAAAAACTTGCTTCATCATTATCTGGAATTATTCTGTTAGCATCTTAGCTCCTGTTCAGGTGTGAGTTTCAGCTGCTGCTTTGTGCATTAGATGGTTAGTTAGCAGAGCAGCGCAAAACCAGAGCAGACATATTATTTTTGTTATTTAATATTTATTCATGTTGTGTGTTTTCCAGTTATTGTCTTTGTGATGCCGAATCGTACAAATTGAACCGTCTTGTGTTTTTTTCTCTGGGTGCACCCACTTTGGTACTGGCCCACTGGTCGACGGTCACAAACCACCGCCGTCATCGTTCCTCTGCTTCATGTTGCAGGTTACAGCAGCGTAGACGCATGAGTTTGACATTATAAAATGCAACAGAAAGGTTTCGACAATTTCCCCTCGTCCCTCCTTCTGAGATCTTAAACCTGTCCCGTCTTTTTATGGTAAAGCTCTGATGGGTTTCTACCAAACTTTCCAAACTATTAACTGCTGTATCCCACATTATTTTCCTGTCAGGACTCTTTTCTGCTGCCAGCTTCAGTGGCATGTGAATTTCCCTTTTGGAGCTCAGTGTAATTCTTATTCTGCCACAGTATATCACTCAGCGGAGGCCCTGCTCTCCTCCTCATTACAGCCACTCATAAGGTCAGTCAGGCCCCGCAGAGCAGTGTGGAGACAGAAAGACAGATGGGGACAGACAACTCAAATAGACAGACAGAGCAGTGTCAAAACCAAAAGCTGCAGCTTTGCCATTCCAGCATGAGAAACTATAAATGGGTCTCTTAATTAAGGTCCCACAGCCCCACACATGTCGCCAAAGGCTGTTGCTGCTACTCACATCCAACTAATATGGTTTTCATGAGGGCCCGGAGGAAGAGAGTGAGGGGCGAGAGAGGAACAGACAAGTGAGACAGACAGGCAGAAGACAGAGAGACAGAGAGACAGAGACAGGAAGGGAAAACATCCTGACGATTCAGAGTTTTCACAGATTTATTTCAACTGAAATAATCTGGAGTGATTATAAACATTAAAATATGTCAAACACAAACTCTTAAACCTAATAAACACAGATAATACCTCACAGTAAAAATACGAATACATATTATAAATATTAATAATATAGACTAGATGAGATATATGAATATATGTATTAAGCCACAATGACTCCCGTGAAGTTTGCAGAGTATAAACAAAATAACTTTACTGCTTTATTAATGTAGCTGGAAAGAATTTTCTCATTTTCCTTCAGCAGCAGATAATTAGGTCACCTCGTTTTGTTTCAGCTCTTCTGCCACGAGCCGCGTTGAACATTCATGACTTTCATCTGAAGAGAGCTCAGTGTTTTCTGTGTCTTACTGTCCTCGTTAAACTTGAGGTCAACACCAGCCTGAAACAGAGGGTTCCATCCTCCTCTCTGTCCCCCTGTCCTCTGAGATGATGAGCTATGGACAGCTTCGTCTTCACGATACCAGATTAAGAGATCTTCTCCAGGAGGGACACTGAGCCAGAGGAGAAGAAAATGGTTTGATTCCGACCACAACGGTTGAGGCAGTACTATTTCCAGAGGGGCGCCGAAAAAACCATCAACACGCACCACATGCACATGCACATGCACATGCACATGCGTCCATCAGTTGTATTGCGGAGGGTTGATTTTAATGCCTCTCTAACCAGAAACAGCCACTGGCTGAAGGACAAGTGTTTTGGGGCCGTCTGTCCGTCCTGGACGTCATGAGAGCTTGACTTCAGGACCAAGTCAAAATTCTACAAACCTCACAGGACTCTTTGTTTTACAGTGTTGTAGGTATCGAACAATACTGAGAGAGTGAGTGTGTGTGTCCGTACATTGTGTGTGTCCGTACATTGTGTGTGTCTGTACATTGTGTGTGTCCTGCCCCTGCTGTTTTCTTAGTTGTCGAGTTTTCAGTTACATCTGTTTGTGTTTTATATGTTCAGGTTTCATTCGTCACTTGAAGGCTACGGAGCCACTGATGTTGTTTGTAAGTTCAAATATTTGCTGTTGAAGTAAATGGGATTTATTGTTTAGCTTTTGTTATCGAATATATCGTGGAGATTTCGTGGAATCAGCATCAACAAATAAATGTTTGTTCTCGAGTCCGTCCCATTTTTGTGAACACGATATCTCAAGATGATAAATTTGATATTTTCAGCTGGACTCACGGATGAGTGGAATAAACCTGATCATCCTCGTGTCCACACTGAGCATTTGTATTAGATATTAAAGAAATTCCCTGGAGGCATTCTGGAGATTTCATGTTCAAAAGAATAAGACGAATGGACAGAGAACCTGAAAACACAAAGCATCAGGCCTGGAAACTAAAGACACACGACTCCAGATGATTGCTGATGTGGCTCCATATCTGCTGGAGGAGGTTTTATAACACGTGGATGTTTACAGCCCGACTATGAACCACCACTGACTGAGCTCTGGTCTGAACTGGTCCACATGTAGGCCACGCAGCATGTAGGCCAACTGGCAAACACAACATGCTAAAGACAGAGAGAAGCAGGGAGCGTGCACGTGTGGACGACGTGCTGCCGTTCAGCATTAAACTGTCAGAGGCAGCAGATGAAGAGTCTGGTGAGAGAACTGTTTACCATGAATAGATAACAGATGTGAGGGTGACTTATTTCAGTGATGTCGTCCATTTCTGTAACGTCAGCGAGCAACAGAGGGAGAGGGAGACATGTGCTGTCAGCTGCAGACGTGCCATTGTCACTGCTAATAAACCATGGCAGCCTGGTGACTAATTAGCCATAATTTTTCTCGTCAGGGCTTTTGAGAGAAACGTTTGAAAATCTCGCCCGAGTCACAGATTTGTTCTGCCAGGAGGAATGTCACAGCCAGGCTGGGGCTAAGCATCGCTGGCGCAGCATCAAGAGATGTTGGCATGTGTCTCTGAATGGCCCCTAGCCCTGGAACTACTCAACAACAGTTGGAGAAAACTTCAGGGAGAGCATGGCGTCGAGTTTCTCCCCTCGTTTGACCTCGGTGTGGAAGTCCTCCGAGGATGTCCCCGCGACTCATATATAAATATATGTATGCAGAAAAAAAGCTATTCAGGAATGTTTAAAGGTTATCGAGCACAATCAAGCTGGGGAGAGTTTCACCGTCGGCTGCATCTTGGCAGGAAAACGTCCTGCATGTGTGTAAACACTCCAAACAGCAAAATAAACTCATTCTGCAGATTGTTTCCATTTTCAGGTTTGTGGTCGTGGTTCATAAATACGCCTGTTCTGCAATCGCAGCGTCTGTGACAGCAGTTATGATATACGGTTTAAAAATGTACTGGGTGGTAAATTATGATCCCAGAATCCATTTGCTGCAGCCTAAACTAAATATCTCCTGAGAACAGAACTGATAGTGGTGACAATATGAGACAATATTTATGGGGTGGTTATATTTCACCAGGCGCTTCCACGATTTCCAAATTTGACTTTTGGAATTTAAATGTCACTCAGGTCCTCGGTGAATTACAGAAAGAGTAAACAGAAGAAACTGATATGATTCTGATGTTCGTGTATATTGCAGCTTATTTTGCAAGAGGACTTATTTATATCTTATTTCAGCTTCAAGTTCATGATGAAATTAGTTTATACTTAGTTATTAGAGTTGGACTGATTGTTTCTCTGTCTTTTAGATTTCCAGTAACTTGAGTCAAGAGCGAACTCATTAAACTCTGGTGCTTTAAGAATGTGTAGACCACAGACACGACGACAGGTTCAACTGATTTTACTCAATTTAAACACGACCCCGCGATCATCGGGGGGGTGAGTCGGACCAGAAATTGGCCCGAAGGTCCCTCGGTGGTCAGAAGGTATAATGCAGATAAAGTCTCAGCAGTGAAATGTCTCCTGACTTCATACACAGCTTCAGTTTTGTATGTTTACGACACCTGAACATTTTTGATTTCAGAAAGGAACGATCCTGACTTCATTTCTTAATATACCCCCCCCCCCCCCGTGATCTGTCTTTAAGTGAAACACCGCCTGGAGCGAGACATCATGTAATTAGACTCGCAGGTGAGGAGACGTTGTGCAAGCATAGCAAGACTCTGACTAATTAAAACCTGGAGGTTCCCCAATTAAGAGGAACAACGTGTCAGTCCCCGGGAGTCACTAAAACGGTTATTCAGATATACGGCTTCATTTAGGTTATTATGCTTTTCTTCTAATATTCTTTAACTGCTGATCTCAGGAAAATCTGAAAGAAAGGGAGATTTAAAGGTTTTAATTTCAAACCTGAAAATAAATATGTCTCCCGCTGGTGCAGAGTAATCAAACCATCAGAATAATGAGAAGCTCTTTCACAGTAACTTCCACACTGACTGTGTATAAATCTGTGGCCCCTGACTAAAATACATCTTCTGAGTGAATATGAATCTGTTCAAGCTGCAGATCAAGTAGAGACTGGAAGTACACTGTACTAGGTGTTCACTGGTGTTTCCTGAAGGGGGCACAAGATTTCAAAAGTCTGACGCGTGAAGCTGTTCTGAGTCTGTGACCGTAGAGGCGGAGCGTCCACAGAGCGCTCTTAAACAAACACTGAGGTTTCTCTTCAGCATTAATCCACTCAACAGCTGCTTTAACACGCAGTTGACGTTTTCAATTATCAACCCAGACCATGAATTTTCCTCAACTTTAACAAAGTGCCGGGAGAGCCTCAACACAAGCGACAGTAAAATACAAAGCTGCTCAGTGCAGCTGCAGTTCTTCTTGATGGACGATCACTGCGTGACGTGGACACAACATCTTCTCCTTCAACACAAGGAAGAAACAACAGATGTGACACTGGCTTCAGGCTGATGCACTTCTTTGCCTTGACAAACCAGTCACGGCGTTTTTCATTAGTTTCCTGCAGAACGCCTCGTCCAACAGTCTCCGTCCTCTGCCTCCAGGAGTCGTCTGATATCTATGAGATTCTCAGACTCTCGCTAAGTTGAAGATGTTGGGAGACGCACAACCGGCCTGAAACTGTGCTGTGTGCAAGAACAGGAACCACGAGCATGGAGCACACGTCATCCAGCCAGAAGACAGTTTATTTAAGAGAGACAGAGTTCTTCATGTCAAGTGGAGGATTTAATATGACTTGAGCTTGAACAGGGTAACGTTTACCTGCTGCTGAATTCTGGAAATGACCGAGATCATAATAATTTGCTGACACAGACGACGTCTAATAAAACTCTGAAGTCAGAAGTGTCTCCTGAAGCCTCTTATTGTGAAAAATGAGATTGTATTTGTGTTGGTTTTGTATCAAGATGTTATATATAGAAGAAAAACATCCCTGCTCTGCAGAAACCAAATCCACTGATCTATACGGAAAAATCATGTCACAGTTAAACCGATTACCATCGTTAATATGCATTCAGGAAAATGTGCAGTTTCCAAGCTGCTCAGTGTGTTTGTTTGTGTGTGTGTGTGTGTGTGTGTGTGTGTGTGTGTGTGTGTGTGTGTGTGTGGTTTATGCACCACCCACGGAGATCATAACAGTTATTTACATACTGTTTGCTCTCTCAATGTCAGACACATTTTAAGATTCTCTTCTTGTCTAATCACGGAGCAGCACAAACACACAGACCTCGTCGAGGGTTTCATTATAGAAACCAGCATAATGGAGTTTGTTGACTCGGCTCCCGGCGGCTCCCGGTCACACACAGGGAGACAAACACCGAAGGAATCATTTACACTACAGAAAAGATTTATGGAAAAACTCCACTAAACACATCCGAGCGTGGAGTTGAGTCATCAAGTTCCTCACAACCAACGCTCATTGTGAACTTCAACAAAGGTCGATCTGTTTATGTCTTTGTTGCTGAGTTTCATCTCACAGAAAATCCCAGAAGAACAAACAGTTTGAAGAAACATAATCACACGTCTTTAACTTTCATTACACGAATCACAGGCGCTCGACGGCCGTGATTCATTTAATTTTCTACTGAATAGATTCTGTTTAAGTGTCAGTGATTCGCTGACACCGCTGGGACCAGAAACGAGAGTGAGGCTTCAGTTCGGGGTTTCTCGGGGTGAATTTGGCTTCAGCTGGTTAAACAGCACGGGCGGCGTCCTCAGGGACTGTGGTCATATGAAGGTCTGATCGGTCAGTACTGATCCACAGACAACAACAAGACACACGTGAGACCAAGTCGTCAACATCACAAAGAAAAGCTATGGATTTTCAAAAACACTTATTTCTCATCATATTTTACAAACAGTGAGTGTCTGTCTCTCACACACTGTCTCTCACACACACACTGTCTCTCACACTGTCTCACACACTGTCTC